ATAAAGGCCAAAAGCGAAGTGTAAAGAGCTAAAGAAGTGGAGAGGAGCCAATATTTTATCCAGCCGAAGAGGAGAAAGAAGGTTCCAGTGAGAAATGGCATGGACAAAGGGTTCAAGATTAAACGTTTCTACTGATTAGAGAATAGGCTGTGTGCAAGGCGGAGAAGCAACAGAACAATGGCCAGGAGTCAGGAAAGAGCCTGGGTATTTCTTGTGGGCTGGCTTAAGGGAGCGTGGTATCTCAGAGGGAGTATAGAAGGCAGTACAGCTGAAAAGACAATCTGGCATTGCAGGATAAACATTAATAGTCGAATCTTAGGGTGGCAGGAAAATGTTAACATGAGCTTTGGAGTCAGATAGGCAGCTCAGTGTGTGATTTTAGCTTGCTTATTTAAAAGCAGTGAAGACCTCAGACAGATTTCTTAATTCACCTGAATCCCGGTGTTCTCTGTAGTGCAAGGATAATTACAATCCCTTATTATGAGGACAAATAACATTATGTAGATTAAAATTTAACAGGCATCTGGTTCTTATTGAAGTAATCTGTAAATATTAGCTGGTTTCACATTGGCTTTATTTTTAAAAATTAACTCTTTACTCAGAAGGTGTGTATTTTCCTCATCTCCGTTGATGACTCATTTGTTCCAGAGTGTGAATCACTAAGAATATTAAAAAAAAAAGGTCCAGATTGTTTAGAATATTATTTATACCTGCTAAGCATTGCAGATGTTAAATCTTATTCATTTAGCTCACTGTCCTTGTAGGTTCGGACCACTTTTACAGGAATGCCATAGAACAGGGGCCTTCCATGGCACATATTTATTGGGTCTGAGAAGGGCAGATCAGAGCTCTGGCTGGTGGCCCTGTTCTGGCCATCTTCTCATTCTGATTTCCTGTGGTGGGAAGAAAATGAGTGATCAAGAGAACTCCCTGAGGTCACTTACGTAGGGTGACATTCATCTCAGTACCATCTAATCACCTCCCGTAAGTCCCCCTTCCAGTTATTATCGCATGGGGGATTAGTCTTCACCATAAGAACAGGGCAGGGAGGTGCATGTTTGCATAAGTTCAGTCCATAAACCTCATTACTCTGCCCTGAGTACTTACCACTGCCAAAGTAGGGCCTGTCAGAGACAGGAGTTTTCAAGAAACTCAATAGAGTTGAAGAGAAAAAGGGCAGTGTGTTTTTCTAGGGACCAAATCACAATATTCTCTTGGCTTCAAGTGTCTTTCGTGTTTAAAAGGAGCACCTAGGTCCTGAAATGCTGTGAAGACAAACCATTCTCTTCATTAGCAGCCCTCTTTGTGGAACTGTGAATTTTGAAAATCAGAATTGAATGTTTAGTATTAAATGCTAGATGGCGGGATGGGGCTGGGAGGGATACTGGGATCTGTGGTGGTGGGAAATGGGCACTGGTGGAGGGATGGGTATTTGATCATTGTATAACTGAAACCCAAGCACAAAAATTTGTAAGTCTACAACTTTACCTCATGGTGTCTCACTAATAAAAATTAAAAAAAAAACGCTAGATGGCTTGATGGTGTTTGGAGCAGAAGTAATTTTGAGTTTTAGAGAGGAGAAATACAGTTATGGATAAGTGAGGTTGGGTAAGATCTGAGGGAAGAAATAGGACATGTAAAATCTGCTTAGGTGCACAAGCATGGGAGGACATGGCATGAGCAGTCACCTGGGGAGAGACTAGTTTTGATTGTCCGTGTTGTTCGTCCATACTGGTATCAGGAAGAAAAAGCCATGGGTTGGCTCAGAGCTCCAGCACCAAGATGCGAAGGCAGCAGCAGGCTGCTATGCGGGGTTATAGCTCTTGGGCAATCACTGGAGGGAAAGGTGGTCTTCTGGGAATGTGTTCTGATGGGAATGCCCAAGATAATTTGGAGACGGGAATAGGAAGGAAGTGAAGGAAATAGTTGCTCTGTATCTACTGCAGAGAGCCACAAGAGACTCATGAGTGCAAGGTATGAATAAAAAGAAGAGGAAGGAAGGACTTTACCCATAGGTTCAAAGAACGCTATAAGATCAAATCAATTGGACGGTGAGGCTGATTTTTACCAGGATGGCAGATATCCAAGATGATACGGTTTTGAGAATAGAAAGATGCTTATGGTTGTGCGAAAAGGAGTAGCAAAAGCTTACTCTGTAGAAGGGTTCATCTCTTTTAAACAGACAGAGAATTGGAGAAAGTCTTACTTGTGTTTTGGCCCACCCAACTCTGGATTTAGGGAGCGGCCTGCAAGTCCTGCTTCCTCCAGTTGCTCCCACCGGTGCTCAGGAACAAAGCAAGTTCCAGACCTGGAAACTCTAGGTCTGGCCCAAAGATAGTACAGGATTTTCAGGGCTTCATTTAGTTTTTTTTGTTGTTGCTGTTTTCTGTGGTGCCAGAATTTCATACATGCAAGCCAGTTGCTCTGCTGCTGAGCTGCGTTCCAAGCACTTGGAGAAAATTTTAATTGATTCATTTTTCTGCTATTTTAATAAAAGTGAACTTTCGTTTTTGTGTGGTCTTGTGGATGGAGCGGAGAGCTTTATAATGCAGAGCATGCATTCTACTATTCAGGTACATCCCAAGCCTGTCTCTATTTTTCTTTGAAGCCCTGACATATATTTACAAATCTGCAACCATGAATGTACATGCCATTTTGTATGTGAGCCAATGTGTCATTAAAATTTATTTATTTGGGAGCACCCATTGAGTGGTGCTCAGGGTTCACTCCTGACTCTGTGCTGAGGGATCACTCCTGGCAGTACTCAGAGGACCATATGGGGTTCCACGGATTGAACCTGGGTCAGCCACATGCAAGGCAGAGACCCAACCCAACCTGCACCCAAGGCAGGTGTGCTGTCTCTGCAGCCCCACAAATTAATTTCTGAGTGGTCTTTATAATAATATTGGCAGAGAGCTTCTCATTTAGTCTAATCTGTCTCTAGAACTTCCCAAATGTATAAGTCATTATTGTTGTCATTTATCTTGTGTGTCTGATGATAAAATTAACAAATGTTTATTTGATCACCATGTAGATCACTCTGATCCTTTTCTGTGTAGAAATTACTGCATAAAATCATGCATATTCTTTTCCATTTATGATATTTCATTATGTTAAGTTCTTGGGATAGGGATTGCCATGTGAAAAGACAGATGATAATGCCCAAGGAGGAGTTTGAAGACAAGTGCAAGAATTGAGTGAAAATTCAATACTTTCCATTCCCATAGCCTTAAAGTCCTGGCTGCAGTAAAATATTGGTTATGGAATGGTAAGCCAATGGGTGTGAAGCTTGTATCTACTTGATAACTTGCAGAAGTTACCAGAAAGAACAATTTTTAATGCTTTAACATTATTTGGAGGAATGAAAGTTAGTCTCTCAGAAAAGAATTTTGGTCATGAATGTCTTTGCAAGACTTCCATTCAAAGAACATTGAATTTAAATGTTTATTTAGTTTATATTATCTTCCCTTATGTATGTCATCTTCTAAGATCTCTCAGTTGAGATGGTTTTTGGCTATGAGTCAACTTGACATACAGTGATCTAAATAAGTTAGGGATTTATTTTTCTCATAATAAGATGGTTGGGATATGCAGTCTGGGACTGTCAAGATATCTCAGTGATGTTCTTGAAGACCTAAAAATCACTTTCTTTATTAACTAATTTTTAAATGTGGTGCCAGGGATCAGACCAAGGACCAACTATATACAAAGCATGCACTGTATTGCTTAGTTGTAGCCCCATTTCCTAAATCACCATCTTATTTTGTGGCCCTCATCCTTGTGGCTGCAAGATGTCTAATGTCCCTTCATCCCATTGCATCCCTGTTTCCTGTAGGGAAGTAGGGGAAGGGCATGGGCAGGGCTATTCTGTAGAGACTGCCTCATTGGAAAGCTTTTCCAGGCACTCCACTCTCCCAGTAGGTTCTCCTTCTCCATCCCATGCAGACCTACGTCAAATGACTGCCTCTAACTTCTAGGCTAATGGTGAGCATTATCAGCGGGGTGTACTGCTTTCCTCAATAGAACGGTGCTTCTATTAGTGCAGAAGAAAGGAAGCTAAGATGTTGGCAGTCAGCAGTGTCTCTCATGATCCCCAGGTGATGTGCTGACAGCACTTCTCCTAATGGACTATTCTTTGAGGTGGCGAGAGACAGACACCAGTGCTTGGATCGCACAAAAGGAATAAAAAGATGCGAACTTGTGACGAATCCACAAATAGCCATGACTGTGGGGAACTCACGTCCCTAACTTGGGTCTTTACTTGAAAAGCCAAAGAATGGATCTTATTTTGGGTCTTGAAAGCCAGCCCAAATATAGCATTAGGTGTTAGAATGCTGCGACATTTATGTTCAAAGAAAGAGTTAATGTTAGTTTTATTACAGACAGACTCATAGTCCGTATACTCAAGGACCCTAAAACCTGGGACAGATGAAAGATTGCTTGACACTCTTGGCCTCAGATTAAAAGCAGGCCGTTGTTTCATCAACAAGGTGGGGTTTGGGAAATAGCAATAACACAGTTTGGAACATGCGGCCTCATGGCAAGACACATGCATCTCTTCCAGACTGAAAACCCAAGCCAACTTCTATTTTAGGGGGCTTCAACATCATACCCAAAGGATTCAATGGAGAAAGCAGTTTGATCTATATAGCAGTGTTCTTTAGCCATTTTATACCTGCAGACCGAGAGCTGTCCTACATTTGGTCCAGTAGCCATGGGGGTAGCTAGTGGTTTCCCATCTATTTACATTCGAGAGTGGTCTGTGGACCAGCAGTTGAAGACCACTGGTAGAAAGGTTTCTCCTTCACTGGCTGTGGCATTCTTTTATTGAGTCTCAGTGAGGACTTTCATATGGCACAGTGCCCCCAGCCTGTTAGAGAATGGACTCCGTGATAGTTCCTGTGTTACGTCATTTAGTATGGGAGATCTTATGTGTGTCTCTGAGAACAGCTGTTTCTGCCCATTCAATGTTTCTTTTTGCTCTCTTTTTTAAAAATCAGGTGTCAGATTGTAGTGGAAATAGTCCAAGCCACGGCAATTAGCAGCTTTCCCCAGATGAAGAGGCACAAGGGTAAGAACCAATTTGTTTTCTGTTTTCACAATTGCCCATCCTTCACTTTTCTGTCAAGGCTTTGGGATGAACATTCTTTTGCTGAGCATTGAAACATTTCAAATGTATGAAAGAATATTATGGCAGCATTAAAGAAAATACTATTTCATAGGTTACCTTTTAAGCTTTGTTCATCTATAATCATATTTTTTTGAAGATTAGTCATTGGATATATTGAACTACTACACTGTTTTAAAACCATGATTTTGTCATCTTTTTCTAATTAAAATGTAATCCTTTGTGCAGCCATATTTTTATCTCAAAACATAATTTTCAATTGACATATAATTGACATTACTTAGTTTCATGTGTATGCTATAAAATTTGATATTGGTAGCCTTTGCCAAATGATTTCAAATGATTTTCACCATCCTTTCTTAACAACCTCCAAATTTCCAGTGACATCCTCCTAATTATAGTCCTTGTGTTGACATTTTTTTTGGCTTGACTGTTTTTCTTCTGTATCTGGAAGATTGTATTGCTTTTTTTTTTTTTAATTTTTTTTTAATTTATTTGGGAAGAGGGTTTGGGACACACCTGGCAGTGTTTGTTGGTACTCCTGGCTCTGTGCTTAGAGGTCATTCCCAGCAGTGCTTGGAGAGTCTGGTGGTGCTGAGGGTTGAATGAGGGTCAGCTACATGTAAGGCAAGCACCTTAACCCATATCCTACTTTGTAGCCCCTAGAAGTTCATACTTCTGATCTTCTCCTACCATTACCCCACCCTCATTCCCCCAGCCCCCACCAACCCTCCATCTCTCTGGCAACCACTGAGTCATACTAGTCATTCAAATGACATTAGTGATTTGATTCACAACATGACTTCACTTTCTTCTTAAGCATTTGTATTGTGAAAAGCTTCTTTCCTCCTTTCCCTCTTGCGTATTTCAAAATTTAAAAAAAAGAGAGAGATCTATGTGGTTTATTTCTCTTGTTTCTTTACAAATGAAGAGATTTTTAACCTAGGCATGAAACTGAAGAATAATTAAGGCATGAAGATTGTTCTCAAGTCCCGTTTTCTGCCGGGATATGGTAGCATCAGGCAAAGTCCCGAATAAGTTTGCCTGGAGCTCACATATTTCCCCTCATGACTTGAAGCACATAGAACAGCATTCTTCAACCTTCTAACACCTTCAGGTCAGCCCCTGACCTGCATGTTGGCCTAGAGACCAGCAGTTATAGCCATGCTGGGAGGTCATGACTTTCCGCCTTTCTACCCCTGTGGATGGGCAGTCAAAGAATGCTGGTCTAGAGAGCAGAGCAAGTCAGAATTGTGGCTGAGAAGCAGCAAACACGACTTCCCTGTGGGCTAAACCTCCTGTGAAAACCCTCAGGCTCACTCGGGTCCCTACTGGGGAACAACTGCTCCGGAAGAGGGCTTGCTCCCAAGATTCTAATTAGCATGGAGAAGTGGCAAACTGAAGCTGGGGGTGGAAACTTTTACTTGTCTCTGAGTCACTGGCAGGAGGTAGGAGCAGTGTATGCAGTGAAGTGGATGTGCAGATTCTGAGCGGCTCCAAGGTTTAATCTCAGCTCAAGGGAAATGGAAACAAGCTAAGCCTCTTTCTGGACCAGGACAGTCTAGGCATTGCTTTAAATCATTCATAACCATGGGTGGAAGATAGTTCTTTCCTTTCGTTGTTGTCGTTGTTGTTGTTTTGGGGGGCACATTCAGTAGTACACAGGAGCCACTCCTGCCTCTGGCCCCCGGTCACTTCCAGCAGTGATTTGGAACCTTGGGGGGGGGGGGGGGACCAGGAACAGTGTAATCTGGGAAGGCCTCACTGAGAGGGTGGCTTGTGAGCAGAGATCTGGGGGTTAGGGACATTTGGGGAAGTGAAACAGGGGCCAGCCTTGGAGGCGGACGCTTGGAGGGCTTGTGTGATGTGATCTCTGTGGCTGCCAAGGGCTACCAAGCATAAGCTTAGAGTGGTAGACAGGTACCCTGCCCTGAAGGGTCCTCTTGGTATTGAAGGCTTTGGTTTCTACTCCACCTGAGGAAGGCCATCTTTGGAGGTCTCTAAAGCAAGGATCTGAACTCTTGCAAGCACATGGGCTCCTTTCTCCTTGGTCCTACTGAGAAGATAATTCTTATTATGATAGAAATTTCAGAGAATGCTAGAAGGGGATTTCTTGCCACCATCATCTCTTCCGTGGTGCTCCTCTTGGTCTTATGAGAAAAAGGATCTTACTATGTTGTGTTATTTCGTTCTTGTATTATTTTGTTATTGTTGTGGCATTTTGTCATTTTTATTAGTACTGCTCTGTTATTTTGTGTTGTTGTGTTGTATTTTGTGGAGCCAATAGGGTTTCTGTCACAGAGTGCCACCAACTGAGCACTTGAGTGGCAGAAATCTATTTTCTCACAGCTCTGAGGCTCAGAGTCCAGAGATGCTGGGTATTGGCAGTATTGGATTTTTTTTTCTTTTTGAGTCACACCTGGCAACGCACAGGGGTTACTCCTGGCTCTGCGCTCAGGAATTACCCCTGGTGGTGCTCAGAGGACCATATGGGACGCTGGAAATCAAACCTGGGTCGGCTGCGTGCAAGGCAAACGTCCTACCCACTGTGCTATTGCTCCAGGCCCCTATTTGACTCCTTTTGAAAGTGATGACGGAAGAATCCAGTTTAGGTCTCTCCTTGCTTTGTGGAGGACCATCTTCCTCTGTATTCATGTCCTATCCCCTGTCTGTGACTAAATTTCCTGTACTTCAAAGATACCAGTCACATGGGGTAAGAGCTTTTGCTCATAATCTCATTTTCCATTCAAATTCCCATGGAGAGACCATGGAGAGCCCCTGTATCCCATTATGGTCACTCAGAAGTTCGGGGGCTTAGGACCACAACGTATTTGTTTGGCTTGGGGGTGGGGTAGGTACAGTTCTGCATGTAATGACACTAGACATTCTCCGTGAACGACTGAGTTCCACACCTGTGTTTCCATATCAGTGGTCCCGTGTTCCCTGGCCTCCTGTCCACTCCTGGCAGACTGCTGAGCTCACTGGGTGCTGTTTCTTCATGTTTCATTGCTCCAGGCTGAGAAAGTGAAGATTGGGGTATAGCAGAAAAGGCCTGGGGCAGGGATTGGGAGATGCAGCGTCAAGTTGAGTTCTTTTGCCCTCTTCCTCCTGAAGCCTGAAGTGAATGCTATAAATAAGCACAGTTACTGAGTGAAGAGAGCATTGTCGTGTGGGAATGTATGATGAAGGGACTGGATTAGGGGAGGAATTGTTCACTGGTCTTGGTGATTTTGGATTTGGGACAATAGAAGGACAGAGAAGTACACCCACTTGCTGATATCTATCTATATATATATAATGGCAAAGCCTGGCAGGCTCCTTGTGGCGTATTTGATTTGCCAAAAACAGTAACAACAAGTCTCACAATGGAGACGTTACTGGTGCCCGCTCGAGCAAATCAATGAACAACGGGGGGACAGTGACAGTGACAGACAGTGATATATATATTTTAGAGAGACCTTCAAAGCATGTTCCAGGGACCTCAGGCTACTTCTGGTGAATCTTGGCTGCTAGTTCAGTCCGAGGACCTGAGGACGTGGTGCCTGGGATTGTCCAGGTCACCCTGGAAATGCTTAGGGCTACCTCCAGTGATGCTGGGGGAACCACGTGGTGCTGGAAATCGGACGGGGGTCAGCTGCATGGAGGTTACGTGCCTTAACCCCTGTGCTTGCTCCCTCTCCCTGTGGAGAGACCAGGCCTGGGCAGGCATATATGGGAGTTACAGGAATGGAGATTAAGAAATAGTTAAGAGTCTTCTGTTTTCGTTGCCTCCAAGGCCAGTATCTTTACGAGACTGTAATGAACTCCCCATTTTTATTTATTTTTTGTTTTTCTGTTTTTATTTTTTTTTTCTTTTTGGGTCACATCTGGCAATGCTCTCAGGGGTTATTCCTGGCTCTGCACTCAGGAGTCACTTCTAGCAGTGCTCAGGGGACCATATGGGATGCTGGGGATCGAACCCGGGTCGGCCGCATGCAAGGCAAACACCCTACTATTGCTCCAGCCCCGAATTCCTCATTTTTAGAGAACAGTGTTTAACGGTGTGGAAATTTCCTCAATTCATACCATCTGCTCTCACTGTTGAAATTGATGCATAGAGGGCTTCCATTTAAAGATAAAGTTATGATAACTTAAGTGCAGATTTTATTTTACTAAAGGGGAAAATAAAATTTAGCACTCCCCATTGCCCTTATTTTTTTCTCTTAAAGCTCAGTAAGTTACTGAATATTAAATTAATAGAAATTTTTGCGTCTCTGTGACCTTTGGAGTTTTGATACGTGGCAGATAAAAGGTTTCTGTATAAATTGGTTCTAGATTATTATAGTTCATTCTTTCTCATACTGATCTTTATTTCAGACAAATATATGCACCTATTCTCTCCGAATATAGTCATTAAGGAAGCTTCCCTTTTTCACAGTAGGTTTCCCTAGGCACAGATGTTGGTTATTTTTTTTGAAATGTGAGCATCAGACAGTCTGATGCAGTAAATATGAATTTTTTTCATCAGCAGAAAGCTCCAGTCTATGTGCTCATTGCCCTGACCACAAACCCTGCCAGTGAGTACCAGGTTTCTTAGTCATGGAAACTCACCCTCTGCTCATTCATATCCCTTATAGTTGCTTACAATTGTGTGTAAGCAACAATTCCGGCGTTTCTCCCTATTTCCCCATTCTCTTTGTGAGTGGGAGACCAAGAAAATTTAAAAAGAAGGAACAGATGGAAGATCTCAAGAATGCTTAGGATTTAACCCACAGATATGGAACCTTGTGAATATATGTGCTATAAATGCAATTTTATTGCTACATATATCTTCTGGCTAGTACATTTCAGCTGTAATCATAGATGATCTGCAGTTGCGAATATACGTTGAGGATATAGAGGGGGATAGACGCCATCTAACAGAGAATGGACGGATAGTAGAAAGGTTAAGGCCCCTCTCTTGC